AAAAACTGCCAAGGATAACTCGGGCTGCATGCATCCCCCTTCAAACCCCCTTGGTTGCAAAATGAGGTGATTTTCCCTACCACCCCCTCAACCCAGGTGAGCCGCCACCTGTCCAAGCTCTTCGACAGCCTGTGCAAGCTGAAGTTCCAGCTCGACACCTCCGGGCAGCCGCTGAAGTCCGGCCTGGGCATGTACAGCAAGGAGGACGAGTACGTGGACTTTGATCAGGAGTGTGACCTCTCGGGGCAGGTGAGTGTGTGCAAGTCCCAGGGCGAAGGGACGGAGGCCCCACTGCTACCCAGGATGACAGGGCCGCGTGCGTTTGGGCCCTGTGGCCTCGGACAGGACCGTCCCTCTCTCCTCTGCCTCTCAGAACAAATGCTTGAAGAAGGTCTTCATAGAATTTCCAGCACAGCCTTGCTCACATAGTATGCGGTGTGTCTTGAAACAAATAAAGAAGAGAAAGGAGGGGAGGGAGGGGGAGTGGGGATGGACGGAGAGGTTTACTAATGCCGGTGAAACTATATATCATTAATGCCAAGGGGACTGCTTAGAAGGGGGCCACGCACACCTGAACTGCCAGGTTCTAATCCCTGTTCAGTATTATTGCCTTATCGCTTTGATTTAGGGGCCCGCTTCCCTTGGGCAGCCCCGATCCCATTTCCAGCTTCCCCAGCCCAGGAGGCTGACGGCAAGCTTCCTGGCTGCCCTCTGCCCTCTGCCCGTCTCATTGGCCAAGTACTGATCAAGCACCCGAATCGATCTTGATATTAGCCTAAGCAAAACAGAATTCAGAGGTAAGTCAGCTTGGGAGGGAGAAAGTCTCGCGTGAGAACACCTGAGCTTCCACAGCCCGACTGCGGAGCACCCGGCCCGGCGGGGCTGGCGGGGCAGTGACAGGCCTCATCCGTCAGTTTGTTCAGATTCGTTTCACACACTTAACTCCTTGCGGACACAACAACGAACTCCAGTGAGCTGCACCTGCACTGGGGTTGTTCTGAACAAGAGAACTGACCCGACTGGCCCGTTTGGGTATTTCCCCCCAAGCAGGGGTCAGGTGAAGGTTCATAGTTTAAAGTACACACAAGGCTTGTTGACAGGTTTGTCATCATGAC